CTCAGATTCAATCTGGGCCATTGGGCTCATATGTTCATATAAAGCAGTGGCCTAATCCCAGCTTTTTCCTTTAATATATACTGCTGTTCATGCATACCAAATATTTATATACCTTGAAGATTTGCATCAAATCAGCTGGTTTCTTTTTGAAAATGCCACCATCCTGGGACCTTGCTCTCTCCATGGTCTGCAAGAAAATTTGCAGCAGCAGATCTTAATAACCGCATCTTAAGCATCTTGGTTGCAGTAAGAAGATATCATGATACTAAAAACATAATCAACATAACAGGTAGGGAAAGCAGATCAAGGACGGTTGTTTCACTAATACAAGTCTCCCTTTCTTAGCTAAAGCAACTATGTGCGATATCATATGCAATAGGTGAGATTTTTCTGACCATCAAAAAGTAATAAGTGAACACTTAATTCCCATTAATAAACTATAATTATCCACAAAACAAATAATAAACAACTATAAATATTGAGCAGAGGCCCACAAAAACTATGCATCTTTTGTTGCATCAGAGAGAAAAGTTTCAGACAAACTCACTTGTCCTATCCAACTAAAGGGATTTGTAATAATACGATGATCCAAGGGAAAATTTAAACCAAACTATGACCCAAGGGAAAATCTAAACCATTATTTTAGCAATGTTATACAAAACTTTTGGTCAAGGATCTCTATGATACTACTTGATATAAAGAACTACCTCGCACCCATGTATTCCTTAAGATCAAAACCAATTTCAATTAAAATGCCAGGTGTCAAACAATTGGCTCAAATAGCAATGTTGCAACTCTTGCATCAGCAAAATAATGTGTTTGAATTCCCATCCTAGTTGTCCCATGCTCAACCCAATAAATACAGCATTTGATGTATATAGTCAGAAGAATGTGAGTATTTCTAAGAGAATAGACATGAATTCATTATTCTGGTAAAAAATCCACAGATGTCATACCTCTTCATCGTCCTGTAAAAAGCTCCTCAAATCCTCACTTTGCTGTAGTTGAGGATGTGAAGCTACACGATTTACATATGTATCCAATGCCTGGCGCCTTAACTCAATAAACTCAGCACTGAAGCGAAATTTCTCTGCATAAGATCCAAACAAGATAGCAATCAAGAAACTAGACAATAACAAAAAGCATGCTAGGTTCATTGAACATAATTTATACCAGGACCAAAAACCCAATAACCAGCAGGAATAGGCTAGAAATAGAAAAATTGCGAGTCTTGCAAAATAGGCTCATGCAAGGAACAGTTTAAGATGAATAGATGATCAACACAAAACTTAATCAATTTCGTCTAAATCGGGATCATTTCCAAAGAGTTCTGCCCAGCATATTGCTAGAATGACAGTTTTCTAGTCCTATAATAGAACCTCACAGATCCCCAGTTGACCCAACTCAGACTAATCAACTTGAGTAGAGTCTGTATTGAGACTCCCTGGGTATGTAAGCTGCCAGTGACAGGTGATGCACCTCTTTATTTAAGTTAGAAAAATGAAGGGAAGATTTTTAGTGAATCTATGGCCATTAAAGTCCTCTAAAATGTTCTTAATATAATTTAAGACTTTTTCCAACTATATTATACCCCTATAGAATAAGCCAAACTAGCATGCACTCTCTCTCTCTCTCTCTCTCTCTCTCTCTCTCTCTCTCTCTCTACTCTACTCTACTACTACTACTACTACTACTACTACTACTACGTACTAGTACTACGTAACGTAACGTAAACGTACGTACGTAACGTAACGTA